TTGTCGTGTGGACGCCCTTGATTTTTGCCCAATTTTTGGTCCAAGCTTCGTGGCGTTGTTTATTGCCACAGAAGATGTATGTGGCATCCAATTTTGGCATGCCATGAATATCTGGAACAAGGTGTTGTCCCAATGCACCAGAGGAGATCACGAATGATGTCTCCTCTTGATTTTCTTCAAGGCTTCGGATACATTCCTCGGCCGTTGTGCAGGTGTTGACTTGATTGACAACATCACGCAATTGTGTGAGCGTGCGTTGACAATCTTGATTGTTCATGTCGATGTTGCCGTCGACCCAGATGACCAAGTAGTTCTCAGTCATACGTTGTCTTCGAGGGCGGCTCATGTTTGTTGCCATGTTTGCTGTGTTTTGGGGATAGGCAATTCTGTTTACTGTTTATATACTCGATGTTGGATGTTTTTTGTTTTTCGTTCCTACTCAACAACAGTCGGAAGAAAAAGAATCGAACAACGTCATTTATTTTTCATTGTTATTCTTTCCAACTTTTGTTTGTTTTTCATGTACACAAATCACTTGAGTGGTAAGGGTATAGGTGTGTAATTCTGGTTGAAGATATATGGTGTATTCTAGGGGATGGATGGATTTCTAGGGTAACAGTCTAGAATGTCCTTTAGAAAATGTCCTTAGTGATATGGTCCTCCGAAAAAATGTTCTCCATTATCAAAATATCCTTTTATTAAAATATGGATAACGCTCGGTGACAATGTTAATCAGGTAATGTTATTTATTATAACGGAATAGTTTTTATTTTATTGTGCATTCGCAACAAAAAAGAAAGTCGTTATAATAATACTTGTTCCGCAATTTTGTTATTGTTGAATCGATGATAGAATTCTTTCGTTCGTTGTTCAGCAATTGAATATCTGATGACCATACTAAAATTCGTCCTGTAGATTGTATATTTTCTAATTGATTGATTTGAAATTCTGGATCATCACTATCATATAATAATAACCGATCATTATTATGATAATCTTTTGTATATATATATCAGGAATAAAAAAAAGATGATTGTGGAAGATGAGGATTCATTTTTTGGCGATTATGTATTAGATTATGATCTGAGAGAACCATAAACAAAAAAATAGATAAGTGAGTTAACTTTACATAAAAATATTAGTATCATACTGATATCAGTTACACTAGGTAGAACAGCAAGAGCTTCATCTGTAAGTAAAGCTTTACGTATTTCTTGTAATGGTAATAATTCATTTTCAGCTCTTTCTCGCATTTTTTCTCTCACATGTCGTATTTCTAATTGTGTTGGATTTGATAAATGAGAGTGATCAGTAAATTTTCTAAAAAAATGTATAAATTCATCATCAAGATTTCTTTATGCAAAATCGTACTACAACTTCTACCAGCACACCACCAAAATTTAATAGTTTTATTTTTATTAAAACTTTTGAATTGAAAATTATAACCCTCGATGAACAACATTAATTTTCGTTTATTTGTTTTTGTTTTTTGTAACATTCGGTTTAGCTGAAGTTGATAATAACGATGAATGTTCAGTTGAAGAAGATGATGAAGATGTCTCATCCATCATAATATCTTGCGATTCCATTTTAAAAAAATATTTGTTTTGGTTATTTGTAAAATATTGTTTAGGGAGAAGTAACCGTAGTTTACTAAAGTTTTCTTTCGTTCTAATTGATTCATTTTATATAGAAATCCTCTATATAAACAACTTAAATGTGTCGAAATATGTTTGAATTAGAGCATCATCCATGTGCCGAGTGGCATGATATTTAAAACACAACAATTCAGAAAGAGGGACATTTTTACATGAGAGACCATTTCTCAAGGACATTTTCGCCATGAACATTTATTCTGAAAGACATTTTTTCAAGGACGAAAATCCGGGGACATTTCGTCAAGAACATTTTCTAAAGGACATTCTAGCATGTATTCGATTTCTAGAATCTAGATAAGATCTGTTTGTACACCTTTGTTTGAATGTCCCTGAAAAGAGTGTCTTACTAGGAAATGAAAGAAACTTTAGCAACGACCTTGTTTACTAGTTTTGAAGTAATCAGAGACCATACTCGGAACTATTTATCGTCCTTGATTTGAATATTAATGAGTTCGAAAAAATTTCAAAAGAATACAAAACTGCTATGTTTCACTAAGCTTTGCGCTGTTATTTTTTTGTATTTTTAAAATATTTCATACAGAGTCAAGTGAATATATTCAAGTCTTAGAACTAATTCATGTTTTGATGAATCGTTACTATCATTTTGATCATTAATTAAATAATTTTTTTTCATACAATGTAA